GCCCTCCCGCCGGTGACCGGAGTCTCCAGAGCAGAGGGGGCGGGGGCTGAGTTTGGAGCAGGGTGGCCAGATGGTTTCCACCGAAACACGGGACGTGACATCACAATCGACATCCCCTCTGGTTTCCAGACACCCGACACTTCCTCTTCCCGTTTGTTTCCCGACCAGGAAGCTCCAAGCCTGGGCGGGCGGGTTCAGAACCGGCCCCCTACCTTGAATTTCCTAGGAGTAAGGGGACCCCCCCCACACACCCAGGGGAGGAAGCACAAACCCCCTAGACTTAGGAAATGGTGTCCTCAAAGCTGGGAGGGGGAACAGCCTCAGGGAGCCATGAGCCAGGAAGGGGCTTGTCCTCAACATAACTTTGTTTCTATGCCCTAAAGCTGTGAAGGCGAGTCAGTTCTACCTGTTTCACACCAATCTGGACACGTCCAAGCAGAATGCCCTTGTGGCTCCTGGGACGGGGTTTAAGATAATGTCTTACAGTGGAATAAGAGCATCCAGAAGGAGCGGGTGAGATGCAAATTATACTGGTGTGGCTGATAAGGCTTTCCTAGTAGACCAGCTCCTCAGTGAAAGTGCTAAATGGGCTTTTCTCTCCACCCCTGCTAGAAGCTGGGACTGCACAACAGGAGCTAAAAAATTGCCCTGTTAACTCCAAAAGCATCTGGCACCAGCCTCTGTCACAAGGCTAGCAGGGATACTAGGCTAGATGGTCCATTAGTTTGACCATTCTTGGGTAAGCACTGTACAAACTCCAAAACTTGGAACAGCCCACTATTTCAGTGCCTGCTGTTCAAATCTGTTTCACACATTTGAAAATCATCATCTTTTAAAAAAAAAAAAGCTGTTCTGCTCTAGCACGCTAGGGAAGCATCCCTTTATAAGTGACAAAATAAAATCCCCACTTGGGAACTCACAAAAGTAGATATAATGCTGATGTAACACATTACTGCCTTCAGCTAGAGTTGTAAACAGCCATCAACCATCCTCTGAAATCCACAGTAATTTATTTACATCATTTTTCCATGTTTGCATAGAATCCAGTCTTAGCAATAGCATGGCTTATTCACAGCCTCATTCACCTTAGTCCGAACCACTGGAGAAGATACGAGATCATTAAAACCTGGGTAGATGGGTTCATTCTCTGGGAGCAGGGATGTAATCGCTATGCAGCACTTATCCTGTCTGTCCTGGCTAGCCATGGCACTCCCATCCTGCTGAGCTGGGAAATAAAATTGCTAGTTCAGCCCCATGATTGGGGGGGGGGGGGTTGGGAGAGAACAGGAGTTATGTAGATGGGGACTGACATTTCAGCCATTAATAGCTGCCCTGTACAGGCAAAGGGCAGACAGATTCCAAGGCCTAGTTTCCACCGAGGTGTTGGATATGTGGGGATATTTATAAGACCACCCTCAGCATGTCTAAACAAACATTGTTGAGTCAACTTGCAAAGGCATCTGGACATTGTGCAGGACCCAGCAGGTATGAATTCCCTCCAACTAACAAATTAATGCTGCCCCAACTCCTAGGTCATTGGGAAGGGAATCTGCCTTACTGCAAATATAGGTGTTCTGGTTTGACCCGAGCTTGCTACCATAATATATTAAAACAGACCCACTCCTCATGCTATGTAACCTGAAAGGGTTAACACCTGTTATCTGCCCTATGCCTTTGAGTCGTGTCTGCTCCCTACACACAGAGATGCTGTACTAAGTCATAAGACTGATGGAGTATAGTTGATCTCAGGGCAGCAGGAGGTGGCCAGCCTTTGGCCCAATCAGCACAGCCCAAATCCTCCCAGAACCAACACTGGCTTGGCAGTGCTGAGTTACTCCCCTGGTGCATCCTATGGCTGGAAACAATCCACATGGCAGGAAACAGGTCCTGAGTCAACCCTCTGTGCCTAGAAAGGTTCTAGAGCACTCCAACCTTCTCCTGATTTCCTCAGCAAGCTTCTCCCTAGGGATGTTGACCTGCAAAGCAAGGAGAAAAGAACTGGTCACAGCAATACAATGGTCTCATGGGAAGTGCCTTGAGCTCCCAATAATATCAGGACACCCAGTTATCCCTTGCCGGCACCCAGGCCTGTCCTCTGCTCTCCCTCAAACCCTCCACTCCAGGAACTCCTTCCCCCCTGAAAATGCATCCGCTGACCACCACGGAGGGACTTGTGGAAGGAGTGGTGATTAGGGACTTTCTGTTCCACACCGGGAGGGACAGAATTCGACTGCTCCCTGACAGCTTTAGTGAGCTGTAACTTGGAGGAAGGTTCACTGTGGACTTTGACCAGTTTGTAAAGAGGATTCAATCCACACTGGAGCCTGGCTAACGCTAGCAATCTGGGATGCAAGCAAAAGCTCCCAAAGAGGCCCTAGAAGTCAGGGAGAACGTTAGCTAGAACTTTTCAGTGGGTTTTGGAGGCAATCTTTGGATCCTTTAGCCCAGTGGTTCCCAGCCTTTTTGATACCACAGTCCAGCAAACCCATTCACAAACTTTAACACTGTATTTGCATATTCATTATACAATGAATATGCAAATAAAACGTTACCTGTCCACTGAGATCCAACCCAGCCCCTTTCTTCCCATGCCTAACACCCTTTGGCCCCTACACCTCATGTCCTTTGTCCTTTTAGATCTGACCCCTACAACCAATGCCAACCCCCTCTTGCCCTGTGACCCCACCACACTCTCATGCAACACCCCTCTGCCCCCACCCACCCCCACACTCCCCAGAGCGAGGCTGCCCCCCAAGGAGTGTGGTCGTTACTGCCACGTAGGCAGGGGGAGTGGCCATTGGTTGTGTGCATGCCCTCTCCCTCCCCAAGCATGTCTTACACCCCCATGGCTGGAGGGAAACGGGGGGAGGGGGTGAGCACATGCAGAGCCCCGGCTGAGCTGCCGTTACCTAGGGCAGAGGAGGGAGGGAGGTCTCCTGCTTCGGCTTCTCTTGCTGCCACCTCAGTTCCAGCACTGCCAGCAGGCAAAATCCGCTACCACAGCTGCCGGAGCTGAGCCGCCACGATCAGCCAGCTCTGGCAGCTTCTGTGGCCTGGCAACCAGCAGTTTGTAGACCAGTGCTGGCGGTTGGGAACCGCTGCCTTAACCCATCCCCAGCATCCAAGGGCATCCTCACCTCTTCCCGGGTAGCTACGACTCGCAGCTTGACGACTCCGTCCTTCAGCTCCTGCTCTCCCACGATGGCAGCGAGAGGGATTCCCGTGTTCTCGCAGTACTGCAGCTGGCTCAGCAGCTTGGGGTTCTTCTTGTACAGCATCTCTGCCTGGAGGGGCAGGCAGTGGGGTTATGCCAAGAGCTTCCAGTGACCATGAGGTGACCAGCTCCCTAACTTATTCCTAGGGATGGCTGGAAATGCTCCCATGGTCTTCTGGAGGAGAATGCAAATGAATTGAAATCTAAACATTCTGTGGAGGTGGGTTTGCTTAAGCTGCAGTGGACCCAGACAAGTTTTGAAGCCCAACTGCTAGGCAGGTTTTCCTGTCAGCTTGCCTGCCTTGTGGGCTACTAGGGAACGCATGCTTCCAGACACTCAGTTCTTCTGCAGCCTATCTAGCAAGTGACAGGGCCAAGGCCCTGAGAGAACCAGCCACAAGCCCTGAGGCTCCTGGCTCAGCTGCAGCTCCCAGTCCCTCCCTTCACGTGGCAGGTGAAATTTCATCTGGGAATTAGGAAAGTGATTTTTTGGATTCTGTTTTCAGGGGGTTCTGTCATTTGGGGTTTTGTTCCAAACTGGAACTAAATCAAAGTTTGAAATTCCAAATGCCTCCAAACAACAATTCTCATTCTCCTCACTGCTCTAGCCACGAGCACCGAAGCCCAAGGGGCAGATGGGTCCAACAGGCTCAGTACCAGCAGCTGCCTTTCTCCATCAGAGCCAAGCAAAGAGGTTGGCACGTCTGGTCTTGCGGTGCCACCTCTCCCCGGCAATGCTCTCTGCCCTCCTCCCCCACCCGCTGGTTTCTAAGGACTGGCTTTGAGAAGCACAACTAGGCCAGTCCAATTGCCCAGTCTTACCTTGATCCCAGAGTCCCACAGCTCAGAGATGAGCTTCAGTCTTACATCAAGGAAGTTCTTCTGGGGGGTTGCCACCAGCACCTGTGTCTCAGTTGTCCGGATCTTCTCCTTAGAAGCCTGGGAGCAGAGACGAGGTTGAAAATGAAACATATGGAAACATCCTGCTGCTCATAAAGACACCAGGCTCCAAGGCACCTGACAATTGCCTCCTCCACCCTTTGTACCTATTAATGGAGAACGCCCCCATTTCCTAACACAGGCAACAGACAGAACCACCAGCTGTGTTTGAAGAGTATCATTTGGCAAAGTGAAACGTGTGCAAATGTAATTTATCTCCCCTGGGCACGTGCATCACGACACAGGAGCGGCTTAGGTTCTGGTTTTAACTCATTCTGAGCACCCACTGGACCTGCTCTGGGAAGGAGGCAGCTGTTCAATAATTTTTTTTGGGTCTCACATTAGTGAAAATTCTAATTCAAGTGACCAGACCAGGAAATCTCTAGCAGACAACTTAGTTCTCCTGTGGGTCGTTCAACCACAATAGCCCATTCTTTCTTTCACTGCATTCTCCTGCCTCATCTGCTACCAAACATCTGATCTGTGCAACAAATGGAGCAGGTGTCCTAAGAAAATAGCCTGCTTAGCTGCACCCCCAACTGGTTCCCACAGTCCTGCCCTTTCTGTGTACTTCCGAATGGCAGGTACCTCCAGTGTCTGCTCCATGATGGAGAAGATCCGCTCGATCCCGATGCTGACTCCCACACAGGGCACCTTCCGCCCCTTGGGGTCGAACATCCCCACCAGCCCGTCGTAGC